TAGTTCTCTATAAAGCTTGCGGGCAGAAGCTACAGGCATAAACAAGTAATTTTTGGCCCCGACGTACCGTATCTGGGCTCGAGCTGGCGGCCGAGGAGGGCCTCGGCTTCCGTTCCTCCTGATCATTAGGAGAAGAAACGTCGCCGCCCTGCAGCGACATTGTACTTGTGCGTAAGCGCAGGGCGCCTTTAAGTGCGGTGGTTGTATATGTCAGTTTATGTTGCTCGTCGTTTGGAGCAGTTCAGCTCGTGGCCACCAGCACCGAATGAGGTGACGACCGCTCGTGTGACGTCGAACCTAGGGCAAGGGGAAAGGAGGTTGCTTGTCTGCTCAGTTGTCGACTCTCTCGTACAGTAAGGATGGTAAAGAAGGAGCTTGCCGCGCAGCGTCGCAATTACGGCCAGAACAGGAACAAAATTATTGAGAATGCGGAAAGGTAGTTACAGAGTGGAAGTCAGAAGCAGGGAGTAATAAAGAAGGCGGTGGTGAGTTGGCAAACGGGCACTGGTCTCCTCCCCCCTGGTTTCTTAGCGGGAGGTGGAACATTGAAGACCGAGGAGATACTTGGTGGAGTTTGGCGGTTAGTTGGGGGAATGTGTGCAATGGCTCGTGGCGGCTGGCTTGAATGTTTCCGGGCATTGAATGCGCAAGCTTGCTAGCCCAGGAACAAGCACCTGCTAGTTGGGAGCGAGATAGGGGCTCCCGACGCCTGGCAGATACAGCACCGGCAACAAGTGCTACCAGAAACCAACTACTACTACGGAGTACTACTACCAGCTGCTCTAAGCAACCAGCACCTGGCAACCAACCCTCATGCGGTCTGGTGCTCAAGTGGGCATGGAGGCAGACAGGCCCACCTGGGGAGCTCTGGCCGCCAACACCGACCCTCGACCCTTCGAATCGCAGCGTCAGACTGGGTCTTGGATGGGGCTCCGGGTCCAAGTCAGGTTTCAGAGGTCGGCTGGTGGGCCCACCTGTGGAAGACCCATAAACATTCAATGTTCGGATTGACACGCAAAAAGCATGGCATCCATTCATCAGAAAGGCGGGCAGTGAAGCCAGGTTGATACTACGTACATAGATGGCAATGTTAGTGCCCAGGATTGTTCTGCTATGAACCTTGAATTTCAATGTTGCTTTCCAAGTGCTCCAGCATGCAATCCGTGCTTCGTGCCCTGTGCTCGTATCGCGTGTCAACCACATTGTTCGCCGCCGCCAGGGGCTTTCGCTTCAAAGGCTCAAAAGGTGCTTTTATTGGCATCACTGATAGAGTCGTTTGTTGGTCCTGCTACCACATGCCTCTGCGGAAGCCTGAATACTGGCGAGGAGCAACATCATTGATGCTTCCCACTCTGCTTTGCCCGCATTGTCAGGGGGAACCGTCCACGAGAAAACTCTATATTGCCCAGGTGCGGAGAGGCAGATATCCCAAGGAGCGCCGCTTAGCCGCACATTTACCATGTACGACGACGTCTTAGTACCAATGTATGTACAAGTTGCGAGGCATGGGTCGTCAAAGCCAACTCAATGTGTCATTTTTAGTATGACAGCTCGATCTTTGTAGTATTCCGCTTCCAAAGGCAGATTTGGCGGGGTCTCTCTCCTCCAAGCTCCAGACTCTGCTGCTGCTCAGTTGCACCTGCCGGATTGACTCCAGCCATCTGGCACCAGACTGGTGATGGTGGCGGTGTCGTCAAGGACCACATTTCAATACGGGAGTATTCCGTAGAACGTGGTTGATCCGCCATATGATGAGTGCTCCAAAGGAAATACAATCCTAATTCAAGTTTAAACTGCATCAACCATGTTGTAGGTGGCCATGCGCATGTGCGCCAGACATGCATCCATCCTGCAGGCCCTTTGGAATGTAACTGTAACCATAGCCTCAAAGCCGGTGTGCTGATTGGCTGCCGCAATGTCACCACTTGTCCATTTTTCTTTGCTTCACCAGAAGCGTGAAAGAGGGTCTGGCAAGGGCACCGTGCTCATTGTAAGGAACAGGTTCGCCATTTGCACGCCAAGCCTGGCCGAGCGCCGTTGGAATTATTGATTGTGCACACATGGCAACCCACATGTCACCATAGTACGGACTGGCATGTTCTGACGACCTGGGCATGCAGGGCCAGTCCGAGTGTGAAGCGTGTTTCTATTGCGGAACGGCTTAATACATATGTTCATGGCATCATTGGAAGCCTTATGTCATGGATGCGACTAGCCACAGTGGGAAGGAAAAAGTATTGAACCAGATCAGGTACTCGGCTATCGCGCTTCATACTATAATATACTACAGTATATGAATGTTTACGTCTTGGCGGGTAAATATATTTTGTCAGACTGTATTCCTCTTCCTCTACCGTCCTTGTCTAAATCCTCATCTAGTGTCTTTAACTTATCTTCATGCTTCTTTGATGTTTCTTCTGCAATAACGGCACAAATTTCTGGGGGAACCTCGCTATCTAAACTCTCATGAAAAGTTCATCTCTTTCTTCTTTTAGCTTGAATGAGAGAATTCTAAAATGTGTGGGGTCTGACTCTTGTCACACGTCCAAGATGACAACAAAGGCATCGGCCACAGAGATCACACAACAACAAAGGAAGTATTATGAAAACCCGAGGTCGGACCTTAGCGAGGTTTGCCTCCGGCACTAGGGCTCACCGAAGTCATACATTTATAGAGACCCCTGACCCTCTAAGTCTTCCTGAGAAACCAAGGACCTTTGATCCCTCATAGTTGCTTATTAAAATGATATTGAACCCAACCTTCCAAGCCCAGTTGACCCGCCCTTGTCACAGTTCTCCAAGTCAGGATCTGGGGCAATAGCAATCAAACCCTTCTCAAGCGCTGCTTCAATGTTTTGATGAAGGAACAGACCGTTTAGTGGTGAGAAACATCTCATCAATAGGCCCCTTACCAAAGATAAGGCGATGTTATCCTCGGCTCTCCAAGGATAAAGGTGAGCGGCCCTAGGCAAACCTGGGGCCAGCCACTCTCGTTTGATTGGTTCCCAAACACGTAGTGTTTATCAGACTTCATTGCTTCTGGGCAGTATGCTTTAATCATTTATTCTTCATCTTCGATTGTTGAGAAGGATTGCGCTTTCTAGTACCGGCATCCCTGATGTTCAGACCAGCCCTCGATAGAATGAGAAGTGGAAATGTCCGAGTCCTGCCTAGTTTTTTGCTCCAAATTTTATTCCGCTGAGTTTGACGAGTGGTATAGGTTTCAAGTGTTTTTATTTTCTTCTCCAACTCTTTCGCAGAGCAAGATAATTATATCGCATGGAAGCGAGTTCAGCTTGTGAATCTGGAAACGATGGTGCGGTGTCTTATTTTGACGAGGTGCTACAACAGACAACAGTTTATTAGTAAATACTTGATGTGGCAGGATTCTGAGGTAGCCTTACAGTGGGAGGTAAAAAGTATTTAGTCACGTCAGGTACCCGGCTCTCGCGCTTCCTATTACGATGTACCGTAGATATATATGCAATATATTATAATATTCATGTGTGCTACTCAGTGGTTAAGCATATTCTGCCACAGATTATATATGTACCTAGGTACCTACTGAAAAGCTTCAGAATTGCGAGGACAATCCTCAAATTCCCTGATGTGTGTGTTCAAAAGTTTCTGACATGAAACAGTCCAGATGTCAACTGCATGTGGTGTCCAATGCCATCCGTCACTGTACTTTGTAAGTGGGAGGAGTCCTGTCATTTGCACAGCAGCTAAGAGAGAAGGAGCGCGCGGATTAGGAAAACAATTTGACGCGTTGAACGGGAGGTGTTAGCAACATTTACTGTACTGCTGTCACGTGCTGCACGTGCACATATGGTCAATATTAGCTGTAGCTGGCCTCGATGGCCCCAGAGAGTTTGCAAATTCGAGACTTTTTATACCATTCTACGTAATAACTGCTTTATTTATACTATGTACCTGGGAACTGACGCAAGAGACCAGTTGAACTTCGTTCATGGGATGACGGTGCTGCTTACCAAAGTTGTCAATCGGTACGCGCCTCTACTTGGACACTCTTGGCCCTCAAATGTCAACCGTCTGCACGTGGTTCAAAATGTTCAATTGCAAGTAGTTTGTTCCGCAAGCACCATGCTGGACTCATGCATGCAGCCAGTCAAAGTGCACCAGGTATTTAAGACTCAAAGTCAAGCGCTCCCAAAACTACAAGTACCTCGTACTACCTGGTGGGTAGTAGCTGCCTCAAGTGTTCAACGTCGCCTGCCACAGCCTACCAGGTACGGAGTACACCGGTACTTACCAAGTACTGGGTATTAGCGTGCCCCAAGCAAACATCCATGATCGGACCAAGTTGACGCCCACCACCAGCCGCAAGACTCGGACGCCTATTACGCAGAGGCCCACTCTGTTGCTGAACCTGACGTTTTTGACATCCGAACTCCTCCATCTTTTTCACTCCCAACATCACAGCTACTCCTCAACCCCCCGACACACCCTCTGCATCTAGGCGAACCTATATCGAATTGCTGAGGGCCGCGTAGTAGATTGTATCTACTGTTTCTATATCCGCCATATTGTCATTTAACGTTTTGGGGAAGCTAATCTGGGACGTCCTGCACCCGTCCTTGCACCCGCTCTCTAGCTTCATCTACCAGACCAACCGGACGGCCACCAACCAAAAACTAGTCCCGCGTTCGATATCCCTCGTTTCACAAGTTTGCCGTGAATATAGTAGCCCTGCTAAAAGGGGCTGTTGGTTTAGCTTCTGGTCCGTTAGACTCCGCTGCCGCGGGCTTCTTGCTCCCCTCACCGAGCAGCTGCCTGACGGGATCAAGTGGCACTTGTCCGTATCACCATCAATATTACACCTCAGACTACGGGTTCTGTTGAGCGAGATATTCGGGGCTGTCCGTTGAAGGGCACTCCGGCCCCTTGCAGAGCAGCATTGTCGTCCAGGCTAATAGCCAAATCGTAGTGGAGGGGGAGCTTGCTTGTGCTTCCGCGGCTCTGCCGCCTCTCTCTTCACCATGGGCAAAATCATCAAGACGATGCAGTCCAAGCACAAAGAGACTTTGGTAAGCTTCTTCCCTTCCATCAACCAGAGTGATTGGACTCGTACTTGACGCGGCCTCTCTAACCCCACATCTCACAGTCTCCTTGGCTGAAAAACTACGTCGAAACAGCCTCCACCATAGATTTGCCATCCTTGCCGAACCATCTGTCGACATTCCCATCGAGATGGCCGTTCGGACGTGGAGATTTGTATCACTGGATACCGCTTCTCAACCGATTTGATAGCATTTTGGAGCATTTCAACAAGACTTATGCCCTGAACGAGGGTCCACAGTCTCGAGATTTCGCCGCCGACGTCCTCCTCAACCGTGCGAAAGATTCGGCATTCAGTAGCGAGAAACAGTGGACATATGAGGAGCTTCAAGAGCTTGGTTTCTCGGCCGATGGTGACAGGGTGCTGATAGAGGCTGTTTTGCTATTCACTCGCATGCTCCTGGAGCATTGCGGCAACCGCAGCATCTATGCCAGCAGCCCGCATCTCAACGACCTTCTTAACACTACCGCATTGTCTGTTCTCATTTCAACATTGGAGGTGGGCTCAGAGTTAGCTCAGCGGTATCAGGCTTCCGTCAAAAGGATCGGCAATGCTTCCAGGCAGATAAGCGCAGCGCTGTTAGCAAACCATTACAACATCGACATCGAGCGAGTCCAACAAATTGCGCTGCCGTTTGTCAAGACTCCCATAGTAAGCCTAGCTGACCCTGCGTCATCCATAACCCCAGTCTCGACCAAGGGAAAGGAAAAGGCACACGGGAGCAGTAGCAGAAACTCGACTCCGACCCATGCTAACGACCTGGTTGCAATTGCTACCTGTGACGATGCAATGTGGCAGGGATGGGGCGACGTGAAAGTGCTGTACTATCCACAAGACAGCCATGTCGGCGTTGACGTGTCAAATGACACCGGCCGAACGTCACTCCCCTCAACACCGACTCCCCTACGCCGCAGCCATACCGTTGGTAGCCAGCAGAACACTCCCCGAGCCCGAAATATCGGTACTGATGACTCATCTCCTATTATCCCGCGAACTCCAGCTGTTTCGGAGGAACATGCCATCCCAGGTCAAAAGTCATTTGATTTGCCCAAGTCTGTGGTTTCGACTTCATCTATCTATGACCTTGTTAAGCGATGCCCCGATGACATGCCGTCATCTGCAAAATATGAGTTTTTTCACCGAGTCCGAGTTGCAAAGGCACTCACTGAGTCGCTCGAGTCGCGTCAGAAAATACTCGCGATCCGGTTACTTGCGATTACCAATCTGGCCTACATCCATACCGAATCAAACTTTGTTGACAAGGTTCTTCGTCACGATATTGACGAGACCAGAAGATACCAGCTTGTCTACCAACTTGCGGAGCTGATACACCCCTCGGCTGATGGACATTCAAAAATACCGCTATGGCTTCAGACGTTTGCCCTGGCTCTCCTGGAGGCTGTGTCAGGATTCCATGCCAGATGCCAAGATGTTCTGTCTGCCTTGAACGCCAATGTCAACCACGGAATCTTGCTCTACGTCATTAGAAAGGCTGTAGCGGGCATGCAGGTTGATGAGGCGACCGACATCGGTGACCAGGCCAGCGAAGCAGACGACTGGCGTAACAATCTCTTTTCTTTGACCTTGCATCTGTCCATGGCCACCCGCGTTGGAAGTGAAATGGTTTCGGCCGGTCTTATGGATATCCTGGTTGAGATTCTCCACATCCGGTCCCAAGTGGCTCAACGACACCATTCGATGGTGTTGGCGTTTCTAGATGGCCTTATTTGGACGTATCAAAATGCATTCACTGCCTTCTTCAATGCTAGCGGCCTAGGCGCTGTTGCACAACTGCTAGTAGACGCTGTTACAGAGGCTCAGAATTCGCTAAAATCATCTAAAGGTGTCAAACCCGACCAACAGTCTGTGGTGGTCGACTACGAGATCCCTTACTACCAGCAGCAGACGCTAAAATGGCTTCTCAAATTTGTCCATCACATCATGTCAAATTCTTATAGTTATGGTGGCAATACTGAACGCCTGCTAAGAAATCTAGCAGAAAACTCTGACCTGCTTCACAGTCTGCGAGAAATCATGGCCAATAAGCAGAGCTTTGGATCGGTGGTGTGGACTAATTCAGTCACAATTCTAAGTGATTTCATCAATAATGACCCAACCAGCTTTGCCGCCATATCTGAGTCCGGCATGATCAAAACATACCTCGAGGCAATTACTGGTCAGCCAGTGCCGGAGCAGCAACAAGGTGGGGAGTCGAAGCAGGCTGAACAACACCAAGAAGACCAAGGTGATGCCGAGTCTCCGGATTCGTCTGCTGCCGCCGCTTCAATTGCAGACGAGGATGACCGGCCGCATCCTCCCTCAGACGATGATATTCGGCACACAAGGCGCAACAAACCTGCCGAGGGTATTTTGGCCTCTTCAGAGGCGATCAATATTGTTCCTCAGGTCCTGAATTCTATCTGCCTGAACAATATGGGCATGAAGCTGGTTGTCGCCTCTCGAGCTTTTGACAGCTATCTTGAAATTTTTGAGAGCTCTCAGCATGTATCGTGCATGGAAGCAGACAGCGACTTGGCGGGCAACGTCGGCGCCAACTTTGATGAGCTTGCCCGTCACCATCCACCCTTGCGAACGTCCATCTCCAATGCTGTCATCGACATGGTTGCCAGAGTACGTTGGCTAGGAATTGAGAGAGGAATGGAGTCGGACTGGGGTGCCAGGCTGTATGTCACCACTGCAGAGGGAACTGTAGTCACTGTTCACCCGAACGAACACTTCATGAAAGCACCAACGGTAGAGTCTGCCCCTGAGCGACAGGGTGCTACCACCGAAGGGGCAGACGTGGACATGTCTGACGCAGCTTCCACCAACGAGACTATCACCGAGAAGAGCAAGAAACCTCAAAAACTGGCCCCCGCTCAATCACTTACACCATACATTCATGGTCTGGCTAATTTTTTGACCGGCTATTTGTCTAATACACTGCTCAAGGTAAACTTTGTGAGAAAGGGTGGCATTGAGCTCCTTCTCGACTTGTGCGAGTCACCAAGTCTTGACGCATCATTTGGCGATTCATCTGCCTCCAGAGTTCTCAATCAGGTCATCGCCCAATTAGTTGAGCACTCCCCTGTTCGGGGTCTGCCCTCACTATTGCGTCGCGCGCAGTCAAACATCGATGTGTTGAAACCTCTTGCAGCCAAGACTGAGGCTCTCCCTCCGTACTTTGGCGCTTTCCTTGCTACGGATTTGCATGTCTGGAGCGATGATCCCGAGCAATCGAAAGTTGTTCTACAAGCAACGCAAAAGATTAAGGCACTGTTGAACGCTCAAAACTTGATTAAAATCATTTCCGACTGTTTCACCACGTCGAGGTCCAACGCCCTGCAGTTCTACCCCGTGAACATTTATGATTACTATTTGAAGCTCGTAAAGTCTATCGGACCATTGTTGCGAGGTATTTTGGCCGAGGAAGCAGGCGAGCTCTCCGTTGTACCGCAGCATTGGTCGTTGCGTCGTCAGGGTTTTCTCGGCGTGACCAACACAAGTGAGGGACGTGATGCTGCGGGGAGCGACGAAACCTCAATCCCAGATGTGCTCAACGATGCTGCCAGAAGCTGGCCCTCTGCTGATGGCACTGACACTTCTGCACCCGTTGAACCTACGGAGCAAGAGCGCTCTAGCGCCCGGTTCATGAATTACGAGATCTTGCACACGCTTTTGCATCCCATGATCCCCACCTCCTTCCCCTTGTTTCAATCTCTAGGCAAAGCCCTCTTGCCTAGGAGAGAGCCAAACCACCTCGATCCATTCCCTCGTCCTAGACAGTTGGAGATTGCGATGGCCTTGGCGGACACTGTCTTATCGCATCTTGGCCCGTCAGTCGCCCAGGCTGAGCCGACATCTAAAGACTTCCATTACTGGATTATTATGCTTCACACCATTCATGAAATGCTAATCGACCACCCGTCACCTCGACAAAGCGACAGATCCAATGTGCAAATTATCATGCCGGTTCTCCTTGCATTCAAAGAACAAGGTGGCCTCGACGTGCTGAATTCTATACTCAGGATCTTGGCATCATCTGTGAAAGCGGGGCCAGACAGCAACATAGACGAAACGTCAAAAGTCAAGGTTGCCGCATTTGGACTTAAGAAAGTCCTTGATCTTTACTACATCCTGGTGAACGGAAAGTACTTGTCGGAAAGCAGCAACCACTTCAATCTTCATCGCCAGGCCGATCGGTCACAGAATATTCCAAACGTAGCCCAGCAGGTTGTGGTCGAGTTTCGCGCAGCAATTCTGCCTGCCATCATGGAGCTTTGGACGTCCAACTTCGTCGAAAAGGTTCCCGATGCCACGGTGAAGAGACTCCTGGATATTCTCAAGATTGTGTGTGCGGCTGAGCACGAACCCCAATCTATCCCCAAAGATGCCAAGGCGCCCTTGATGCTTTTCAAATACACTGATGCCAGATTTAACTGGGCATCTGTTCAAAGCGTGGTGAAAGAGGTCATAGACACGGGCTTTGAGGAGGATCTTGTTCACGAAGCAGTCTATAGAGCTAATGGGAACACTGCACCCGTTATCGAATATTGCCGCGCTCATACAGACGGTCTCGCAGGGCCACGAAATCCCATTCCTCCTGAGGACGCAGACATTTCGGCTCTACAACAAGAATCATCAGCAGTCCAAGAAGATCAATCGAATACAGTTACTGCCCCTGACTCCGACCAGATGATCTTAGATGCTCTTCCCGATATATCTGCTGATGACATGGTCGAATATGTCGATCGGCATATCGGCAATATTCAGGCTGATAATGATAATTCATCAGAAGCCACGGGTGTAACGTCATCCAATCACAGAGATGACACGACCGACAAAATCCCTACCATGAATTTTGTTGTGAATTTCAACGTGGTCAAGGACGAGCTGGATAACATGCGTTCCAAGATCCGCGCACAATTGATTGACCAATGTCTGGACGTGATTCGAACCCATCCCGAGACGGCCATTGAAGTATCAGATTTGGTATCTACCACCATTTTGCGACGGCAGAACCAGGAAGCCCAGGAAGAGGTTGCCTCCACGCTCACATTTGCTCTTTCATCTTTATCTCTGGACGAGGATGAGAAGCGGCGAAATGGCAAGTGTATTGCAGCCTACGCTCACCTCTTGGCTCTGTTGCTCCAGGACGAGAATTTCTTTGAGCACAATAAGGAAAATCTCGCTGATAAGGTAGACGAGTATGTTGGCTTCTTGAAAGTCCCACTTTCGTCTTCCACCGACGAATTGCCACCTTGGATTCCTTATATTTTGCTTGTTCTGGAGGCTCTTCTCTGCCATGATGAACGACCAGTCCCGGTGCAATGGAAGCCGCCAAAGTCTCTAGAAGACCCCGTTTCTGAGCCTGTCATTCGATTAGGCCTGCCGTTGGTTGGTGACGAGAATTGTAACAAAATTCTGGAATCTCTACTTAACTTGCTGCCTCGTATTGGCAAGGAGGAAATTCTAGCTACTGCAGTGCTAAGAGTGCTTTTAATCCTGACTCGGAAACGACGCCTGGCAAAGGTCGTAGGCGAGAAGAAGAACCTGCAGCGATTATTCCTAATGGCCAAGCAACTCTCTGGCTCCGGCTCCGAGCGTCTGAAGCAAACAAGGCTTACTGCACACATCATCACCATCTTAAGGCACATCATTGAAGACGAGGATATAATTAAACAGATTATGCGCGCAGAGATACAAGCGGACTTTCCCAATTTAATTAGGAACCAACGGGGCCACCCTGATGTATCATCTTTTCTCCGAGCCATGGCACCTGTTGCCCTTCGCGCTCCGGATCTGTTTGTGGAAGTGACAAACGAGGTGCTTCGATTTCAAAGATGGATGGCTCCATCCGGAGATTCGAACCGATCGCAGGCTTTGGTTTGGAAAGACCAGCAATCCGACTCCAAAACTGAAGAGGAGAAGCCAACCGCAGATGGATCTTCGAGCGATACCGTAAAACCCTCAACAGAGCTTGCCGACAAAGAAATGGCTGACGTCCCAAAGGCACACCATGACATTAAGCGACCGGTTGTAGAGAATCCCGATGGAGTCATTCATTTCCTGCTGTGCGAGTTAGTCAACTATCGCGAAGTAGATGACAAGGAACCTTCTGCGCCTTCTGACCTCAACACGGAGGCTACTGGAACGGCAAACTTGCGAGATACTAGCTCCAAGGATATTTCAGCAGCTGACGGAAAGGATAAAAAACAATCGAAACCTTTGTTCAAGGCAGAAGAGCATCCTATATTTGTTTACAGATGTTTTTTGCTGAACTGTTTGGCAGAACTCCTGCAGAGCTACACACGAACGAAGGTCGAATTTATCAACTTCAAGCGTAGCGCCCCACCCTTGTCGACTACAACCCCAATTAAGCCACGAACAAGCATCTTGAACTATCTGATTTACGATTTACTGTGCCAAGGGAACCTCAACGGTACTACCGACACCATTGTTTCGAAGAAGAAGGCAGCGACATCGTCGCTGACTCAAAAAGTTCTGGTGGCCCTCGTGTCTAAGACCAGTGAAAAGGCTGCAGACCGTAGAGCCGACAAATTTGTTTATGATGACGAACCTGACTTGCTGTTTGTCCGAAAATTTGTTCTAGACACAATATTGAAGGCTTACGAGAAGGCGCCGCTCACTGATGAGCCTCTTGAAACCCGATATTCCCGGATGCAGTGCTTGGCTGAACTCATGAACCACATGATTGGTGAGAGGGATAGGGACCAGAATCCAAATTCACGAGGCAGCGACAGTCTTCAGTCTCGCTCACAGGCGCAGCTCCGCCGATTGATGTACGAAAAGGGCTACGTCGACAAGCTCACGTCGTCAATCGCCGAAATTAGCCTCAGCTATCCGGGCGTAAAGCGGGCTATCAAGTATATCCTCCGTGTTCTGCGTGTTCTAACCAGCACCGCAAAAGAACTAAGCCAATCAAGTATTTTACCTGCAGATCCTGCTGGTGACCACAGTGACGAGGAATTCGCATCATCTTCATCACTGTCTGATGTCGACGACGATGATAGAGAAGAGACTCCGGACCTGTATCGTAATTCCGCACTAGGAATGCTGGAACCTCGGGGAGAAGATGACGAGTCCGATGAAGGTGATGAAGACGACGATGAGGACATGTATGGCGATGAATATGACGACGACGAGATGGACTACGGTGAGGATGATATTACCGATGGCGAGGATGACATTAGTGATGATGACGAAGAACTTGGTGGCATGGGAGAAATTGAGGGTCTCCATGGTGAGCCAGGCGTGGTTGAAGTCATCATGGATGAAGATGAAGATGACGAAGAAGACAGCGACGATGAAGAGGATGACGACATGGACTCTGCTGATATGGAAGATGTGGAGGACCGGGTAGAGATAGTTGACGAGGATGGGAACCCCCTTGAGGAGGATGGAGACTCTGGTTGGGAAAGCGAAAGCGATGTTGAAGAGGATGATGACCCGGACCAAGATGCTTTGGATTATGACGCAGAGGTCCAAGAAGAGGGAGAATCTCATATGCATGGCATGGCCCCAGGCGATTTGCTTGACAATATGGCTCGGGCTATTATGGGGGATGATGGAGGGTATGATCCGGATCTAGGTTTGGACGACCATTATCTCGACGATGAGCATGAAGATGGTGGTATGCTGAGTCCCCCCTCCCCATTTCCTTTTGAAGCAAACCCAAGGGCGAAAATGCAGCTGCTAATAAAATGCACAACCATAGAAGATGAGGATGAGGATGAAGATATTGATGACGAGGAGTACATCTATGACGAGGACTATCCAGGTAAACTTGTGAAAAGCTGTTTATGGCGATTCAGTAGCATGGTATTTATACTAATCGTGGCTAACCTTAGATGACCAACTGCCCCCAATGCCATCGTTGGGGTGGGATGCTGTCAACCCTGACATGGATGACCGGCATCGTAATATGCTCCTCGTTGATGGCCACAGACGACCCGTATTGGCTCGAATGGACAACCGCAGTTCCTTTCCCGGTCGTTTCCTCGGTGGATCTCATCGTGATCAACTGGGTAAGCTCTTGATCTAAATGCTTCCATCACAACCCTTGCTAACTATGTAGTAGGAGAGTTCCGCAGCTACTTTACGTCACGAAACCACAGATCTACGGGGGCACAATCTAACGCGGAGGATGGTCTCAATCCCCTCCTGCGTCGCAGCGATCAAGCAAACGAAGGCCTGCCTCGGCCTGGCCAAACGCACGCTTTAGATTTAAGAATTCCGCCTGGTTTGCTCGGCGCCGGTCGCCACTCCATGGATGGTCCCATGGGCTTGTTGGGAGAACTCATGGAATTTTTGCCAATGATGAGCCAAAGCGGAAATGGCCAACAGGCTTTTCATTTCCACATCACTGGACCTGGCGCACCTCGGGAATTTAGAGATCTAGGCCCAGCACGGTGGGTTAGGACTGATAATCGGCGCGACGCAACAGCCCAGGAGCCTCACCAAGCAGTTTCGTTCACCGCAGAATCAACCTTGGACCGCTACCAGGAGGAGGCCAGGATGATTTTTGGGGTCAACCACACCACTGAAGCGTTTAAGCTTATCAACATCATTACCGCACAGCTTACTCCCGCTGCAATGGAGCTTGAGAAGAAGATCAAAGCCGAGGAAGCAGAGCATCAGAGACGTGCAGATGAGGAACGAAAGAAGAGGGAGGAAGAAGAACGTCTTGCCCAGGAAGCGAAAGCGGCGGAAGAGAAGGCTGCCAGAGAAAAGGAGGCAAAAGAACGTGAAGAACAGGAACGACTTGCGCGGGAACGCTTGGCCACTGCAGAAACCACAGAAAACGAGCAACCAGATCGTTCCAGCGAAGGAGCGATGGAAGGTATCGAGACATCTGGACCATCAAGTGAGCCTCAATCCACAGTAGAACCAGGGTCTACGTCCGCTACCGCTGAACAACCCCGTGTTATGACTACTATCAGGGGTGAAGAGGTTGACGTTACGGAGCTGGGCATTGATCCTGAGTATCTGGCCGCCTTACCTGAAGAATTCAGAGAAGAGGTGATTGCTCAGACTGTCAGTGAGCGGCGATCTCAAGCTCGCGAGGAGGCCGCAGCCGGAGAGTCAACAGACGTATTCCAAGAATTCCTTGACGCTCTTCCTGACGAACTCCGCCAGGAAATTGCCCAGCAAGAACGACAGGAAGAACGCAGACGAAATCGAGAAGAGGCTCGTCGCCAAGCAACTGTTCCATCCGGACAGCCGCCTCCCGCTGAAATGGACGCAGCTAGTATTTTGCTCACCTTTCCACCTGCTCTTCGCCAACAAGTTCTCATGGACCAAGGCGAAGACATAATGGACCAGCTCACACCGGAGATGGCTGCCCAGGCGAGAGCCTTGAGTCAACACCACCCCCCAATGCCTCAGCATCAAGGCGTACGATCTATCGTCACCCCAGGACAAGGACCTCCTCAAGCTGCTGCCCGGGACAACAGCGAAGGTAAAGCTCAACGCCGAGCTGTAGTGCAGATACTGGACAAATCTGGGGTGGCGACTCTTTTGCGCTTGATGTTCATCGCCCAGCAAGGCTCCATCCGAAACTACTTGTTCAGCGTCTTTGCTGATGTCTGCGAAAATCGCCAAAACCGACTCGAGGTGGTAAGCACGATCCTTCAGATTCTTCAAGAAGGCAGCACAGATATGAACGCGGTTGAACGAAGCTTTGGGCAGCTATCGATAAAGGCAAGGAAGCACAAGGAGCGTGAAACCGACCAGAAAACACCTCAGAGTCTTAAGAAAACACTGACAAACTTGGGAACCACCGCCACACAAGTTCAACAGACCAACTCGGAAACCTCGCCGCTCTTGATTGTGCAGCAGTGCTTGGACCTTCTGGTGGACCTGTGCACGAGGAGTCAACACATACCATGGTTATTCTTGACCGAGCACGAAGTCGTAGGGTCTACTCTTAAGAGGGCATTGAGCCGAAAAGGCAAGATTAAGGACTCTAAGGCTCACAAGTACGCAATCAACTCTCTCTTGACTTTGCTGGATCGTGAGATTGTCATTGAGAGCTCTGTTGTGATGACACATCTCGCCGATTTGCTAAATCGTGTTACTTTGCCACTTCTTAGCCTCGACCGCAAACGCAAAGATACCACAGAGGAGGTCAGAAAGGAAGCTCCTGTCGCTACTGAAGGAGAACAGCGGTCTGCCTCGGCTGAACAACAACAACCTGAAACGGGTACCTCTACTGAACCTCCCGCAGGGCAAATACCAACTTCTGAACAAAATGCCGATGCTGCGGAGGGAGAGCCTCATCAACAGAAGAAAGAACCTGGGTCGAAGAAACCGAGACAATTGCAGCCACCAGTCATTCCACCACAGAATCTCACTCTTGTTGTGAAAATATTCGTTGCTAGAGAGTGCAGCTCCAAGACATTTCAGAACACCATCTCGACCATCAAAAACTTGTCGGCTATCCCGGGCGCAAAGGCTGTTTTCGGACAGGAGCTCGTGAAACAAGCCCGTCTCTTGAGTGAAAATATCGTCTCAGACCTAGACGACCTTCTTCCCCATATCGAACAGGCCACTTCTGGCACTGAAATCCAAGGCGTTGCACTTGCCAAGTTTTCTCCAGGAGCGTCTGAGCAAAACAAGCTACTCCGCGTTCTGACTGCATTGGATCATCTGTTCGATGGCCGCAAGAAAGGTGGTGATGGCGAGACGGAGGAGTCTAAAGAGCATGACAAGCAGCACCTCGTCACTTCTCTATACCACAACTCTACATTCTCCGCCATGTGGGAGAAGCTCAGTGCCTGCCTAAAGGCGATTCGAGAACGAGAGAACATGCTGAATGTCGCTACAATTTTACTCCCACTGATTGAATCCCTTATGGTTGTATGCAAGAACACGACGGCAAGCGATGACTTGTCCCAGAGCCAGGCGAGCAAAGGCATGGTTCTTTCTAGCCCACCACCAGAAGCCCGGACCGCCAGTTTGTTCTTTGCCTTTACGGAAGATCATCGACGCATTCTGAACGAACTGGTGCGCAATAACCCAAAACTCATGTCTGGAACCTTTGCGCTCTTGGTTAAAAACCCCAAGGTTTTGGAGTTTGACAATAAACGGAACTACTTCAATCGCAGTGTTCACTCGCGAAGTAACCAAAATAGTCGCCCATCCTATCCTCCCCTGCAACTGTCAGTCCGTCGCGATCACGTATTCCACGATTCCTTCCGATCACTCTATTTCAAGTCGGGTGATGAAATGAAATTCGGCAAACTTAACATTCGCTTCCATGGAGAGGAAGGCGTTGACGCGGGTGGTGTCACACGTGAGTGGTTCCAGGTGCTCGCTCGACAGATGTTCGACCCCAACTACGCGCTCTTCACGCCTGTGTCGTCAGATCGTACTACTTTCCACCCCAACAAGCTTAGTGGAATCAACCCGGAACATCTAATGTTCTTCAAGTTCATTGGACGCATCATTGGCAAGGCCCTTTACGAAGGCCGCTTGCTTGACTGTTTCTTCAGCCGAGCAGTTTACAAGCGAATCTTGGGTAAATCTGTATCGGTGAAGGATATGGAGTCATTTGATCCTGATTATTACAAGTCACTCTGCTGGATGCTGGACAATGACATTACGGACATCATCACAGAGACATTCTCGGTTGAGGACGACGAGTTTGGCGTTACGAATGTTTTTGATCTTGTTCCCAATGGCCGAGACGTTGCTGTCACTGAGGACAACAAGCACGAATATGTACGACTGGTGGTTGAACATAAACTCCTTTCATCTGTCAAGGAACAGATGGAGAAATTTTTGCAAGGTAAGATCTCTCGAGGCCCTTATGGATCTTTTTTTCTTCTCTCTTCTCTAATCACGTTGATTTCATTTTAGGCTTCCATGATATCATTCCTGCTGAGTTGATCTCCATTTTTAACGAGCAAGAACTTGAGCTGCTCATCTCGGGTCTTCCCGATATTGACATTGATGACTGGAAGAGTAATACGGAATATCAGAATTACACACCATCATCTCAACAGATTCAATGGTTTTGGCGAGCTGTTAGGTCCTTTGATAAAGAGGAACGCGCCAAGCTGCTCCAGTTTGTGACCGGTACCAGCAAAGTTCCCCTCAACGGATTCAAGGAACTTGAAGGCATGAACGGCATCAGTCGTTTCAACATTCATCGAGATTATGGTGACAAGGATCGATTACCGTCATCTCACACTTGCTTCAATCGTAAGTATCCACTAGCAATTTTGCAAATGTCTGGAAATTTTTGCGACTTGCGTAAGCTGACTCGTGCTACAGAACTTGATCTCCCAGAGTACGAAAGCTATGACATGTTGCGAGCTCAACTTCACAAAGCCATTACCCAAGGCAGCGAGTATTTCGGATTTGCATAGAAAATGCATATGATGATGCAACAACATGATAAGTAAGAAACGCCGCAGCAGCATAGCGTGGTCAGGCCATATAACGGCGCCATGGTGTTGGAAGTGTGAATCAGCGGGTCCTGGTCGTATGGATATACAATTCGCTGGCCTTGTACCTTTCCCTTTTGGGGTTCCGTTGGTTTCATTTTCGAGTAGTGCATATTGTTTGGAGAGCAGCTGATGAGCGCGCGGCAAAGTGCCCTTTTAGTTGGTTGGACTCTCTCCTTTATGGAGATTGCCGCTACGCAAAGTATCTGGATTGGTCAGACTAGGGAGAAGTGCAGGTCTCACTGGAATGGGCATTCAGAGATTGATGACACATGAAGGGGAGCAAAAGCTTGTAGAGTATGGAAATTCGCAATTAGAGTAAATATGACTTGAAAGGACTTGAGATCCATGGGCCGCGCAGGGATGTGACAAAGAAGAATGTGATGTGATGATATTGGCCAGCGCCTGGGCTAGTGACGGTTGACAGGTTAACCATGTACGAGGATCTTGGCAGTCAGTACAGATCAGTATCATCACAGTGACAGATTCAAGGTACGGTCATACGCGGACACACGATTGGAACAGGAGTTAATTTGAACATGGCATCAAGAATGCATTTTGATAAGTCTGAAAATGCTCTCTAATACATCCGTGATCAATTGGTGAGGGCTGGGACTTTCGAAACCACGCGAAAACCCGCTAGCCCACGGGATATTGATTGTAAAAAACCTTCACTCCCAAATGCATGCATGCAAATTCCCCCACAGGAACCAAGGTAAATTTTTCCACTTTTTGATTTTGTCATTATACGAAACGCAACGCCAGAGCCATATCAACCCGTTTTTACTTGCGCATAGAAGAGGCGCGGCGCTTACGGGCATCGGCCTTGTGGGCCTTGGCCTCTGCGACACGCTTGGCAAGGATCTGGGCGTACTCGTTCTGTGGAGAGGCATTGGTTAGTTGTAGTCTTTACAATGGGCGCCGGGTTGGAAAAAGAACTTACGGCCTCGTCCTTGACCTTCTCGGCCTGGCGGCGCTTGAGCGCAGCGCGATGGCGCTTGTGCTGGAGACGCTGGGGAGTGACCAGTCTCTGGATCTTGGGCGCCTTGGTGTAAGGCTTCTTGCCCTCACCCTTGGGCTGGACCTCGCGGCGGATGACGTACTTGCGAACCTGTTATCCGGAGGGGCGTTTCATCAGTCTCTATTCACACAAGTTTTGTTGTACTCTGGTTCCGGTGGGCATAAGCTGAGGGGAGGAGAAGAACAAAAGACAGTGGAGAATTTGTTCATGGACACGAAAAAACGGCAATTTTTGTTTCCCCGTTTCTTTCCATCCTCCTCAGAGCATCATACCCACGGACTTGTTCATCTCACACTCTACCCGGACTGCCATAACCAACGCCGCAGCTCCGAGTAGGCGATGACCGAGTATGGATTGTAGGAGGTGTAACATACATCGTCATCCTTGGTGAGGCCAAAGAACTTGCGGATCTTGGTGGCACGCTTGGGACCCAGGCGCTTGGGGTGGACGACGTCGGTCAGGCCGGGGATGTCGCCGTCACCCTGCTTGACGATGCTGAGGGCCAGGACGGACAGGTCCATGCCGACGATGCAGCCACGGACCGACTTTCTCTTGCGCTCGCCGGTGCGGCGAGGGCGGTAGCAGGAGTGGCCGTCGGAGAGCAAGAGGCGGACACGGCCGGGGTGCATGACACCCTGCTTCATGGGGAAACCCTGCTTGTCGTTTCCTCCGGTGATGCGGAAGATGTAGCCCTTGAACTCGTCGCCGACAGAGTCGCCAGCAACTTCGGCGCCCATCTGTTTCATCTGGTTAGCTCAAAACGCTCGGTTTGATTGCATCAAGACTCCGACTAAGGCCGTCTCCCCCATTTCGAGTTGTCCAGCATCTCTCAGACAGTCGATGTAGAGGGAGCAGCATCGGGTTTTGTCGAGGGGTGGGATGGTTCGGGACTCGGACGTACGCGCTTCTCCATGAAGACGGCGAGCTTGCGCTCATCGTCAATGTCGATGAGCTTCTGGCTGCCATTGGCAGGGTAGGAAATGTTCAACTGTGCAGAAACGTGTTAGCCAACAATTTTCCTGTTTTTTTTTTCCTTTGGTCCATCCAAAGATTCGACTCTGCGCGACGATGATGGTTTCTCTCGACACGTGCAAGGTGTGGACATGTTCAAATGCCAGTGTGATATGCCAGTATTTCCCATTGATCGTCGGCGAGGTCGTTTCTTTTGCTGTTACAGCTGAGAATGCAGATTCGTACCTTCATCTTGCCAGTTGTGGATGGTGCAAGTTGACTTGACCTGGCGCTTGTGAAGTCGGTGATGGATGCAGAGGGATGGAAGAGCAGAAAAATTAACGGACGAATTCGAGAAAGTGTGTGCCGGTAGGGTTCCCTCTTCTGTGTGTGGGAAAATGGGAAATGGCCAATGACAATTCGAGTGCGGGGCTCGGTTGAAGCGGTTCTCTGCCACAGTCACTAGCCATGAGAAGCGGTTTGCGCCACATTCGATGTTCCTTTCTGCCCCACCTCGCATCTGTCGTTGCACTTTGGCACCCAAGGTTGAGTCCTTGTTTGGTCTTGGTCGGTTGTATTGACAATGAAGCAACATTATAAGCTCAATTGTAGTTCGTAAATACCTTGTCCGTTAAAATGCAAGCATGTACCTAGGTAGGTAGTTATATACAGAGATGTTCCCTTCTCTCCGCCCCCTTTTTCTCTTCGTAAGTCAACCCGTTGACGTCCCCAACGGCGGTGGTGCTCCAATCCCAATACATATGTTCCGTCTTCTCACGCGCGAAGCTCTTCGCACCTCCCAAGTCAAACGACCAGGCACTTCATGACATTTCCTACTCCCATCCAATACACCACCCCAAAAGCCCACCAAGCCTTTCCAATCATAAACATAAACAACAACAAGAGGAGACCTAAACCCACATCGCCACGCTCTTCCAAATAGAGAAAATTCCACCAATAATGTCAGCAAAGCTTCACCCCCCATCGAAACCATCACAGCCAAAGTCCAATCCTCTACCCCCTCTCATCCAGACCCCTTCTGGCCTCGCCCTTCTCGAACTTCAGGGCACCATCAACCTGCCCCAGTCCAAAGACGGCCAAGCACTCAGCGGCATCGAAATCGGCAGGATCGACTTTCCGGACTTCGTACCCGACGCCGAGGGCTCGGCGTGGATGAAGCGCGTCCACATGTACGTCGGCCAGCACCAGCGCCTGACGGGAGAGGTGAAGAAGCTGCCCAAGGCCATTGCCGTGATAAGTCGGCGCGAGAACAGGGTGCTAGAGAACTCGGCGGGGACGTACCTGGAGGAAGGGGAGAACCTGGAGGTTGTCGAGATTGTCAAGTACAAGATTATGTTTTCAAACCGGCCCGAGCCCGTGGGGACGACGAATGCGTCTTAGACGGCACGTTGGATTTGCAACCTAACAGCGGAGTCTGGTTTTTTTTCTATATACGATTATATGGCATTTATTCTAGGGCAGGTCCGCGTCTGGGCCCCGTGGTGTTTGCAACATGGCGGCCAACTCTTGCACCCTCTTGACGGCCGGTCCCCTCAATACCTCGTCGGGGGCCTCTGAAATAAACACCAGTGCTATCATTAACGCCGCGTCAAGTCGCAAAAGGGTCTCTTCCTCCGCCGTGACCCGCGGCAGCGGCACAACATCCGAATACGCCTCCAGAAACTCGCTCCCAAGCTTCTCCAGCTCCATAATTCTGTACAAATCCACGGCCGTTGGACCGACCAGGCAGTTGGTCCAGTCTAGAACGGCCACTACCCGACCACGTCTCACGCGGAGATTGACGTCCCGGAGATCCATGTGTAAAAGGCGCGGGGGAAACCGTCGCAGTTTCTCGGCAATCTCCTGCAGGACGTGTCTTTCCGGAATCCAGCTCTTGGAGGCGGGTTCGTGTTTCAAGAATTGCTGAAATCGCCGGACCATGCGATTGACCAAGGTTGTGAAAACATCACCGGCCTCCATGGCTACGAGTCGAGTATCCCAATCTTCTGGCACGTGGGAGGTGTGTATTAGGGCGGCCACACGGCCCATCTCCGCGGGCGATGCTTGAGTTCCGTCATCCTCGATGAACTCGCTCAGCATGGCGGGAAAGCCATTGATCTCGAGGAGTTCAAATGCCCGAGGTACGGGGACCGGGCCGCCGTGTAAGAGTCTGTAGATGTCTAGCTCTTGGGCGAGGAGCTCTCCGGCGTCATTGCTTGGGTCATTGACGTTTTGAAAGACTTTGTGCTGGGGAATGCGGAGAGCTACAGGACCGTAGTGTGGTGACTGCGCCTTGTAGACGTGGAATTCGAGGCCCTCGGCGACGGGCTCGACATCTGTCAGCTGGGCGGCGATGACGAAGGGGTGTGCTGGGGCGCGGGCGCGGTTCATTGTAACTTGACGAGGTGTTGTGCTACTACCAGGTTGCTAGAGTAATGGAATCTTTTTTGATATCGGCGCTACTTTCTCCTTATTATATTGCGTTGACATTATATACGCAGTTGTGCTGCAAGTATCATGCGAGTGATGGAGGAGATAGAGTTGGACGCAAGGAGAATGCGCCGCCATAACGACTTGGTGCGTCACCATCCACAGCCGCAAGACGAATGCCATTAATATCCATTCCATCCCATTCCATCCCATCCCATCCATTGCATATTTCGACGAGCACCGCGATTATAATTCATTGTTTCGCTATTAAATTTTACTTTATTTTTTACCTTTTTTCATTCATTTTTCCCTTTTTAACTTGCCTCCAGAGGTCTCGCCCTCCCTAAGCCCTCCTTGCCATAATAATCCATCGGATACACACTCCCCTTGTCCCACTCCTCCTTTACCCCCAACGCAACCAAGGCCTCATATGGTGTCAGCAACGGCCGTGGAAACGCATACCCCCAGTCAATACTCAACCGTGGACAAGCCACCTGCACCCAACACTCAACGTCACTCATCATGGCCAGTTTCCCCGGGAAAATCTCACTCAGCAGCAGATTCACCCACGGTATGCCCTTCTCCTTGAGCCTCTTCTCAATGAGAGCCATGGTATGTGGATTCCCCTGTCTACCCAACGAACCCAATATAAGCCCCCACCGTTTGGCCGTTCTCGCCGTGTGAATCGCACTCCGCCGAAGAGACTGCATCTCATCGTGGCCGTACGTCTCACGCGTAAGCTTCCTCGAGTACGGATCGTACCTGTACGCCGGTATCGAAGGATTGTGGATCATGATGCTCTCCAAGTGGAAGCGGCCATCTCCAAGGTACAGAATCATGTCGACGGCATCTTCGTCCTTGAGCCGGGGGGATGTGCAGCCCAGGATTTCACCTTTGCTGAGGGGCGCGATTTGTGGGACGAGCACCTTGAAGCCTGCAGCTTCGAGATTGCTCCGTACGCCGTGGATGGTGGCGTTGAACTGAATGGTGCCCACGACGGCCATGGTCTTGCCCGTGGCGAAGTTGCGCTCCAGAGAAGCCAGCAGGTGTGCCGTGTCGATGCTGATGTCGACGAAGACGTAGAGCGTCTTGATTTTGGTCACGTCGACGGGGATGAGACAACTGTGCGCATAGTGCACCAGCAAATCGCACCCCAGGGCTCGAGCCGTGTAATCGTCTATGCAGCATGCGCCGTAGGTGACATCCCCCATGATGAGGGTCTCGATGCCAGGACAAAACTGCGTGAGAATGTCCGAGATGGTGGTGGCGAAGAGCAGGAGGCCTTCGGGCATCTGGAGGGCCACCTTCTTGGCTCCAGAGGTTCGAATCCTGTGGATGGTCTTGGGGATTTCAAAGCTGTAGTTGGCCGGGAGCAGGGCAATGGCTTCCTTGAGATTTGGGTCATCGAGGATATCCTTGGGGACTCTGTTCAAAAGACGGGGTGCTCGTCTTGGCTTGGCGGCTGGTGAAATTGCGTTAAGACTGATTGTTATTCATGTAGCGTCTGCTGGTGACAAACGACGAACCTTGAATGGCGCCGCTTTCGCCGTCGGCGTTTGTCGTCCCATTCTTTGCTGCTGCCTCCGCGGCTGCCCTTCTGCCTACGAATCGTTTCTTGGGCTGTTTGGTGGTGGATTGAGGAGCGTCGTCGCTCGTGGGCTCGGGTTGATGAGCCTGGGTGAGTTGGGCTTCTTCAATGTCTGCGGCGATGCCGAGGTCGACTTGCGCCCGGTCGTCTTCCATGGAGCACAGAATTCTGCGGCTGTTGGGAAAATTTCTGTGTATACCCTCCGTCAATATCCAATATCGCCAAAATTAGCGTGTTTATCATCCACGCACAGGTTTGCCAACTCTGTGTGACCACCTGAGGTGCAGGTGAGAGTTTTCTGGTTCCGCTTTTACGATTGGTCGGAGTGTCAGTTGCCCAACTTAGTGGTGATCAAAGTCGTGGCTGCTCTCGAGTCTTGCTCTCCCGCCCCGTATGTAAATTTTGTGCGTGGCATTTCTGAGCAACGACATGTTTCAAGAAATAAATTCATGACAGCTTCCTCTTAATAATATAGTTCAGTATGAGCATAGCAAACAAAAACACACCACCAGCACAAATATATTATAACCAACCCATCCTCCCCACGCCACCTACGACGACGGGCCCCTGCCCTTCTTCTCTTCATGATCAGAGACCAGACTGAACCTGTATTTGGCCTGCAACACATACGGATCACCGCCGGGCTCATAAATCTGCTTCTTGCCACGCATCCACTCAGGGTTGTTGATGCCGTCAATGTAATCCTGGACCTCGAGCACGACACATCCATACTTGGGAATGGTGCGAGGGAACTTGTCCTTGTTGTCGCCCGTGACGCCCTGCGTCTTCTTGAGGGCCATGGTGCCGTTCTGCCCGTTGCACGAGTATATCTGGAAGGCGTCCTGGTCAGTGAAGACATCGAGCTGGATGCCAGACCAGGGGGACGACAGGGTGGTGACGGGGCCTTGCTTGCGCCAGTCGTAGGGGCCTATGGCGCCGCGGTTGTTGATGAAGCAGTTATCTGCGACATTGTCAGCATCAACTAATAACGCTTGTCGTGTTCGTTTCATCAATCTCACCATAGCCAGTGCAGTTGAAGCCGCAGTTGTTCACCATGCCCTCGTCCCCGAACGAGGCTCCAATCTGCTTGGGCTCGCTCCAGAAGTCATTCACGCCGCCCTTCTTGTTTGGCAACAACTCGCCTGTCGGGATGAGGATATTGTCCACGCCCACACGGAAACCGGCATACGGCATATGCAGCGTATGGTTGAACACCTTGCTCGTTTGGTTGTTCGCAAAGCCATCCAGATTCCAGTACGTGTGGCTGCTCAGCATAATGGGCGTCTTCTTAGTCGTCGCCTCGGCGACCATCTTTAAATCCCAGTCTCGTCCGTTCAGACTGTACGTTACGACAGTCACAACCTCTCCGGGAAATCCTTCCTTACCATCGGGATCAACCAGGGAAAAGGTGACGCTGTGGTTGGAGTGCGAAACAACGGTGAAGTTACGCCAATCCCAGCCATCCGGGCCGCCGTGGAGAGTATCGACACCGTCGGGGTGGCCCTTGGTGGGATTCTCATTCGCCTTGACGTGATACTTCTTCCCGTCGATTTCAAAGGTGCTGTTCTTGATGCGGTTGGCATAGCGGCCGGGAACGCCGCCAAAGTGAGGGTGCTGCTTGTCAATGCCGTAGTAGGAAGCGTTGTCGAAGCCAGTAACGATGTCGCGCTCAATTCCGTACTGGTCCTTGACCATGAAATTGGAAACAGAGGCTCCATAGGCAACAAAGGCAGCAGAGACGCCGTCGCCATAGATCCAGTACTTGCCGTCCTTGTCAGGCTTTGGCTCGTTGTTGGTGTTGTCGTTTGCGTCGGCGACGCATGTTGACGGCAGCACCGCGAGCGCAGCGAATGCCAAGAACTGCAAAGTCCACTTCATGGCAGCGGCTTCCTGGGCTGAGAGTCAAATCCAATTGATTTATCAAGACTTCGTCACTATCTCAGCAGCTCTTTGCGCAGCAGAAGGATGGCTGGTCTGATTCAGATGCGCGTGTCTCGCAATGCTCTGGATCTGGAAACACAACAAAAACAAGAGACTAAAATGTCCCACTCAAGGTTGCACAAGTGGTTGTACAAACAGCTAATAAAAACACTGAGACAATTGGATGAATTGGTGGCCCAACCGGTGTTTATAAAATGCTCAGTGCGACGCTGCTGACAGACGCATCCCCCATCCCACGATGATCTTCAATGCAGACACTCTGTACGGAGGCAGCCACGGCTTTTTCCCCCTCACGAATCAACAACAGCATGTCCCGTGCTGCTGGTCAATTCGTCCTCCCATCTCCTCTTTCTGCTTCCCTCCACAAGATTAGAACGCTCAGCATCGTGCTTTCCACCCCTCATGTAACCCTCACTGCAGGTAAGTATCACGCATCCGGACAACCAACCCGAAGGAGACGCTGTTCGTGCCTAGGGTCAGGCTGGGCCCTTCAATGTTGGGTCAGGAGTGCGTAGCAACGCCGATCATCTTGTCAAAAAGTTGGCACTTGGGGAAACTACAAGTCAAAAGCCCATCTCCGCATCATGTCACCCGTCTAGAGTACGTAGTAAGTGTCGATCTTCCAAGCAAGCAAGTAGTGTTGGGCCATTGGAAATAATGAGATGCAGTGAGACATGTCCGCACCCATCAGCGTTCAATTCATCCCCAGACTTTCCAACAACTACAAAGTACGGGGTACGGGATGCATGCAATAATAGACCCAGGACATGGATAGATGGGGCTGCCAGATCCTTCCTTGGCCGACGGGTGGCTGGGGAGTTCCAGAGCCAGGACTGCCATTCTGCGCCAGCGTTCACCCTGCCTTTGCGATGCCCTTCATCCGCAGCTGCACGGCCAACAGCTTGTCCATTGATGAATGACAGCTCATGTCATCAGTGCACATGCACTGCAGCCAGCCAAGTTACCCCAGTAATTCTAGGCCCCAGCGCCTCGCATGCCAGCCTGTCTCTGTGCCAGTCGCAAGCCGCACGTGCCACGCATGCTTCAGTGTTGCAGTGAACGCGGAGCAGGGCATCTGTTTGTACGGAGTACTCCGTACTCAGCACACGCAACTGATCTGCGCGGCGCGTCCAACTACGCCACCAACGAAACCAACTGTCGGGGTACTACTGCGTACGACTTCAATCTTGACCTTGCCATGCTGCAGCACCCAAATAGGCCCGAAAACACCACACAATTCCATGGACCAGATGACCGGCACTCCGCACGCCCGCCCTGTCGACACCAATAGCATCGTTAATGGCTGGGACCTGCAAGTGCGAACCAGTCCACTGAGCAACCTGCTTCAGTACCTACCTACTAGGTACTTAGACTCTAAGCAGGCTCTTGCTCACGCAGTTTATACGAACCCGAGGGGACATGCATGACATAGCACATTAATGTAGCTTCAACATGCGCTTTATGCACTTGCACAATTAATAAGCGTCCGTTTCATCTCACTCATCCTTCATCGTCATAGCCAGCCATTTATTCCAGGGGACATCTTTCTGCTTCAAACGGCACAACTGCTGCAGCCGCTACTCCAAATATTCACGTATTGAGACTCAAATTCTAATGCAAATAACCGTGAAATTGCTACCTTCTCCCACAAAACTGATATCAAATATCACACAACAAGGCTGCTCTCCGCCGCATTTATACACATACGCAACAAGGGCGGCACTCTGCCACCTTGCATTGTGCCATATGTTCTGGCCCCCCCTTGCGTTTTGTCTATTATACTGGCCGCAAGCACAAAAAAAAACTACATAGATATGTATATATCTGCCGCAAACAACGTCACTTTCAACGCAAACATACTACTATGCGTCAATCAAGTTCTCCTCCCTCTGTTGCTGGTCCTTTGCCGCCACATCCTCCCGAGCCTTGCCCTTTGACTTGGCATCTTTCTGTGCACGCTGGTAGAACTCGTTCAACACCTTGGCCGGGATTCGGTTCAGGAGGTCCTTGGGGTAGATACGCAGCAAGCTCCATGCAAGATCCAACGACTCGAAAATGGTGCGTGACTCGTAGGCTCCTTGACTGATAAACTGACGCTCAAACTTTTCCAAGAACTCCAGAGACAGCTTATCTTCGGCAGACAATGCTTCTTCACCAACAACAGCCTTCATGGCAGCAGCATCACGGCCAATGGCATACTTGGCATACAGCTGATTGGACACATCACCGTGATCACGGCGGGTCATGCCCTCACCAATAGCCGACTTCATCAGACGAGACAGCGACGGGAGCACGTTAATAGGCGGGTAAATACCACGGTTGTACAAAGGTCGGTCAACGAAAATCTGGCCCTCGGTAATATATCCCGTCAAATCAGGAATAGGGTGAGTAATATCGTCGTTGGGCATGGTCAAAATAGGAATCTGAGTAATGGAGCCATTACGTCCCTCAACACGGCCGGCACGTTCGTAAATGGTGGATAAATCAGTGTACATGTAACCGGGGAAACCACGTCGTCCCGGAACTTCTTCTCGAGCGGCTGAAACCTCACGGAGGGCATCACAGTATGCAGATAAATCCGTCAAGATAACGAGGACGTGCTTCTCAAGCTGATAGGCGTAATATTCGGCTGTCGTAAGAGCAAGACGAGGTGTAATGATACGTTCAATGCTAAAAGACGAAACGTATTAGTAAACACATTTCCAGATAAAGCACGCGGCATTTAAATATCAATCAAACCTACGTAGGATCGTTCGCAAGGTTAAGGAACAAAGTAGTGCGTTCCAAGCTGCCATTCTCCTCGAAATCGCGTGTGAAAAATCGAGCGGTTTCCAAGTTGACACCCATTGCACCGAAAACAATGGAGAAATTTTCTTCATGAGCGTCGTGAACGCCCTTGTTAGTCACGCCGTGCTGCTTTACCAGACCGGCTTGTCGACAGATCTGAGCAGCAATTTCGTTGTGTGGCAGACCGGATGCGGAGAAGATAGGAATCTTTTGACCTCGAGCAATCGAGTTCATCGTGTCAATGGCAGAGATACCGGTGGAGATCATTTCTTCGGGATATTCCTAACGACTGTTAGCACTTGACTCCTGCCGAAGGTAGAATATAGGATATACATACTCTCGAGTATGGGTTGATGGGGCTTCCGTTGATGTCGAGGTACTCTTCGGCCAAGACCTTGGGTCCCTTATCAATGGCACGTCCGGAGCCGTCAAAGATACGACCAAGCATATCCTCGGAGACACCAAGCTTCAAGCTCTGGCCAGTGAACTCAACTCGGGTCTACGGAGAGCTGTTAGCCATCGTGGATACTCGCCGCATGAAGAAAGTTTCATCAGCCTACCTTCTTAACATCAACACCAGAAGTACCCTCGAAAACCTATCAAATCGCGTCAGCTATCATCAAAGGCGGACCATCCTTTGTGTGTCACGGTACCTGCACGACAGCTCGATCACCTAACCAAAGGTCATTAGCAAAACTATCATTGCAGCGACATGTGAATACAAACCTCGAGCCTCCAAAACCTGACCAGATCGTACAGATCCATCAGGAAGTGTCAGCGACACAATCTCGTTATATCTCGGGAATTTGACCTAATGACGCCATTGTCAGTATGCACAGCCGGCTCTCCAGCTTGTTTGGTCCTCCTACATTCTCAAGAATGACCAGCGGACCGTTGACACCGCCAACAGTGTTGTATCGGATTCGCGGCACGACCGAGTACGACGACGACTCGCGAGGGTCCCCCATGATGATGACGGCAAGCAGCTATAGCGAAGTCCAGTGGGGGTGCGGCAGGATTAAGGCGTCAGCCTAGGGTACACAGAGGACGAAACAAAAAGCCGACTGGGCCAATGCTTGTGATGATAACGGCTCTCCTTGGAAGAGGGGACGATGTGTTGCGGTTGAGATGAGGTCTGAGCTTGGATGGGAAGCGATTTGATTAGGAACCCATGAAACTGTGACAAGACGAGGTTGGAGGAGGTTGAGCTTGCTTGGCATCGAGTGGAGCATCCGCAACGACCTGAAGCCAGCACAGGACTCACGCCCACTGAGGATGGGCTTGAAAGTGGGCCGACCTGCTTCTCAAGTTGCTGGCCTGCCAGAGAGTTCCACACACAGACGCTGGTGACATCACATGACTGGCTGCTTGGTAAATTCCCCAGAAACTGCCCTCCAGATTAAGCATTCGAGGCCACAATCTCTGGTGGTGCAGGCGTGAGACCTTGGGGTTGATATTGCGACTAGTTGCGGAGGAAAATGCGACAAAGAGCTTTTTCCAGAGAAATATATCACACAATCCTCAGGTCCTCCTCACATTATGTGTAGCCTTTAAAAGCCTGTGCATAAGCAATAAGTGAATCTTACGGGCCACCACGTCGGACTATATTTCAAGTTCAAGTTCAGATATACTAAACACCATGAGATCACACAATGTGTCTTCCGTATGGGTATGCCTCCAAAGTTCAAGCCTTGGCAGCCTCGGCCGCAGCTCTAGCCCTCGCCCCCAGCACCGCTTTTCCAACAGTACTACCATTCGACTTGCCCAACTCCGTCGAAATCCACGACCCAATATCAGTCATGGCATCCAGGTCAATACCAGTATCCATGCCTAGCGTCTCCATAAAGTAAACCATGTTCTCCGTGGAGACGTTACCAGTCGCACCAGGGCTATAAGGACAGCCGCCAAGTCCACCTACACTGCTGTCAAACGTTCTAATACCGTGCTCCAACGATACCGCAGTGTTGACCAATGCCTGGCCATACGTGTCGTGAAAGTGCATGGCGATGTCCTCAGTGCGAATGCCCGCAGCAGACATGCACCTTAGCAAGGCGCTGGTGCGAGGCGCAGTACCCATGCCGGTAGTATCGCCCAGGGAAATTTCATCGGCTCCCGACTCGAGAAGATCTGTGGCGATTTCGGCAACCTTGTGAGGGTCAACGTCGAACCCTTCAAACGGGCACCCCAAAACAACAGAGATATATGCCCGAACTCGAAGACCTAGAGCCTTGGAGTCCTGGATGACAGCCTTGAATCGCTCCAAGGAAGTCTGGATATCGCAGTTGAGGTTCTTTTGTGAGAAGCTCTCGGTGGCTGCCGCAAATACGGCGACTTCCATTGCAGGCTTAGGTTCGCCGTTGCCATCGGCTCGAGGGTCAAGTTGAGTGGAGAAGGTTTCGGGGTTGGCTTTCAGAATGTCGGCACAGTTTTGGAGCCCCTTGGTGTTGGGAGCCAGGAAGGAATACGTCATGGGAACAGGTGCTTGTACTTTCTTCTGAAGCAGGTGCTCAAGAATTTCACTCGAATTTGCCATCTATGCCGCGGCACTGTTAGCATAATCACCCTGCGGGCCCTTCGTAATCCCCAAAGCCTCAATTCCTCATCCCTCCTACAACAAGAATCAACACACCTGAGGAACCCATTTCGGCGAGACAAAAGACCCGGCCTCAATCGTAGAAACACCAGTCCTGGCTAATCGCTCGATCAGATCGATCTTGGTTGCAAGCGGAATTGTCTTCTTCTCATTTTGTAATCCGTCGCGAGGACCAACCTCGACAAGCTTGACCTTGTTATTCGATGTAGCCTGTTGGCCGTTGGCTGTCGCAAAGCTCCGTCGCAGCTGAAATTGGGACCGTCTGCAGGCCCTACAAACTGCTGATCGGATGAGAGTCATGCTGGCGGCTAAAGGAAGGATGAGGAGACATGAGGAGAGCAGGCTCGTCGGCCGTCTTGGACTTTCACCAGGTGTCGCGTAGCGTCGGCTCCCACCCCGGCCCGGCAATCAGCCGACCACAATGAAGCCACCCCCGCGTCAAAGCAGCCTCATTAGCTACGGGGACTAGGCATATCATTTAGAGCTTCACCATGGTATGGTAGACATCTTACATTTCAAATCTACAGAGGTTTTATGACATTAAAGCAACTGGATTGGCTTATAAGTTTATGAAGAAAAATAAACCCTTCAAGGGGCTAGGGTATGAGTCCAGAATTAAAACAGTGGCCACTGGCGCTTAATCATTCCTTTCGTGCAACACTGTCTAGTACTCGGCCTCAAGCTCCTCCTCACCCATTGAGTCGGCAGCAACCTCCTCGTAATCACGCTCCAGAGCAGCCAAATCCTCACGGGCCTCGGAGAATTCACCTTCTTCCATACCCTCACCAACGTACCAGTGCACGAAAGCACGCTTGGAGTGCATCAAATCAAATTTCATGGACAAAGAGCTCCAGGCTTCAGCAATGGCAGTGGTATTGGACAGCATGCAGCTATATCATATTAGCAACCCTTGTCATAATTTTGGTGAGTGCATGACTGATCAGTAAATGACTTACACGGCGCGGTTGACCTTGGCCAAGTCACCGTTAGGAACGTTCTCAGGAGCCTGGTAGCAGATACCAAGTTTGAAACCAGTAGGGCACCAGTCTACGAACTGAATTGTGCGCTTGGTCTTAAGAGAGGCAACAGCGGCGTGGGTGTCGTTGGGGACAACGTCTCCGCGGTAAAGCAGACAGGTAGCCATATACTTGCCGTGGCGGGGATCACACTTGACCATCTGGTTGTTGGGCTCAAAGCAGGACATGGTGATCTCCTGCACGGAGTTGGCCTCATGAGCAGCCTTGGCAGCCGAGATGACGGGGGCATAGGCGACCAGAGGGAAGTGAATTCTGGGGTAAGGCACCAAGTTGGTCTGGAACTCGTTCAAATCGACGTTGAGGGAACCATCAAAACGAAGAGAGGCGGTGATTGAAGAAACGACTACAAAAAAATTCAAAAAGAATCAGCGTTGTCCCACGTCCAAGGTCAACAGAGAATCTGTCATCAAGCTTACCCTGGGCAATCAGCCGGTTCAGGTTCTCGTAGTTGGGGCGCTCTAGGCCCAGGTTGCGGCGGCAAATATCGTAAATGGCCTCGTTGTCGACCATGAAAGAGCAATCAGAGTGCTCAAGGGTGGTGTGGGTGGTGAGAATCGAATTGTATGGCTCAACAACCGAGGTGGCAGTCTGGGGAGCTGGGTAAACGCAGAACTCGAGCTTGCTCTTCTTGCCGTAGTCGACAGACAGACGCTCCATCAAAAGAGCACCGAAACCAGAACCGGTACCACCGCCAAAGGAGTGGAAAACAAGGAATCCCTGAAGACCAACACAGTTATCGGCGACGCGGCGGATCTTGTCGAGGACACCCTCAATGAGCTCCTTGCCAACGGTGTAGTGGCCACGGGCGTAGTTGTTGGAAGCATCCTCCTTGCCAGTAATCATCATTTCGGGGTGGAAAAGATTGCGGTAAGCACCGGTGCGGACTTCATCGACGACATTGGGCTCGAGATCGCAGTAGATGGCGCGAGGGACGTACTTGCCCTGACCTAGATTGAGCAAGTGTTAGCTGTTGAACATGGCTCAGGGGCTAGCATCAAGATGACAAAAAAGGGGGGAGGCCGTACCAGTCTCGGAGAAGAAAGTGCTGAAGCCCTGATCCGGGTCCTGAGCCTTGCGCTCCTCGGTGAGATAGCCATCGGGCTGTCAAACAGTTGTGGACGTTAGCCATGTCGTTCGGGTGTGGGTGGAGATTTGTCAACAACAGCGAACAGCGATTTACCTGGATACCGTGCTCGAGGCAGTAGAGCTGCAGCCAAATTCAAGTTAGCAAAATTATCATGGATCAAGGGATGAGAATCATTAGTCAAGCATACCTCCCAGCAAGAATTGGCGATTTGACAGCCAGCCTGGCCGACTATGCTCGCAGTGTTAGCGTCTCCAAACAGCTCCGGGCAACGATGCGGTGAGCAGCGACGCGTGTGGGAAGGCCAGAGGAGGGGTAGCAAAGCTCCTTACCGTTGATGCTGATAACCTCACGCATGGTGACGAATTACAACAACACAAGTTTGGGTAGAAGGGTATGTATGAAAAGGACGAAGGAAGATAGTGAGAAGGGTCGAAGCCGAGACGGGGCTCTTTTTTTCTTCTCTGGTCCACGGGATCGGGTGCGTGTGAGGTTGAGAGAAGTCTCGGTGCGTGACGGGCGAAGGAAAATAGGTGGGGGAAATTTGGGTGACCAGGGGCGAGGGGGCGAGGGAGATGCGTTGCTGTCCAGGGATTTGTTGATTTCTTGGTCGTGGCTCGAAGAGGTAAGCGCGTCTCTGAGGTCCCTGCCAACCGTCTCAACTCAACCGACTCTAGGTACCTCCTGTAGGTACTCCGTACGTACTGCGCCATACCCGAGTGTCAACCAGTGTCTCTCGGGCTGCGGCGTCCCTGACACTGGGCGTCGCTCACCGCTCCAGGCTGAGCAGCACACCACTCAAAGTGCAGTCTCAGAGAGACAAACCACGAGGTACTCCGTACACCATGCTGCCTCTGCTTCGGCTGCAATGTTGGCTGATATCGACTGCTCGAGTGGCTCCAGATGCTTCTCGGATGGCCTGTGGGTGGCTGCAATTCGAAAACCGGGTCCGCAAATCCCCTGCCCAGATGGCGCTATGGTGAACTCTGTGCACTGTTTACTTATTGCTTCATTTGAGGAGAATCCACCTCGTTCACACGCCCGCCAAGCTACCCAAGGCCAAAGCAACCACGCCCAAATTGTTTCGACGGGTACTAATATCTGCAGTACGAAACAGCAGACCGGGACACGCTCCCTACTCTTCCGGCCAGACCCATGACGAGGACCCTAACCTTGGATTGCATTGCCGTGGTGAACGGCTTGATCATCCCATCCTCCCACACAGGCAGCCACTCTTGTTGGGGCCCGAAAGGCAACTAATTAAACATCTGACCAAATCCCAAGCACACCAGGCTGATGGAAAACACAATACACTGACGGCCGTAACCCTGAATTTCGATGCCAACTCGTGCACGCTCAAGCTCATCGATTAGGAACCAAAAAAAATACTTCCATCCCAGAGTCTCATTAACAGCGTGGTCATTTACCGAACACCAGACAGTATCAGTGAAGCCGTCCCGTCGCTGCACATGCAACCAAATCGGATTGGCCTTGATATGTCGCAGCTTGACTCGGGGCCAGTCTGAAGCCTGAGGCTTTGCTCGAGGTGGTTGACCAATGGGGAGCTCTGCTCGTAAAATCAACACAACCTCCTGGAGTCCTGAAGTTTGAACCACCGCCATGATGCCTCCCACGTCAAGTCTCGTGAAGGCATTGGTCTATACAATACTCCTCCTCTGCACCTTTGTCAAGTGTGTCGTCGGGAATGTCGAAAAAATTATATTCATCGGCCCTCCCCCCTCCGCCATAGGCAGCAGCAACCACCCTGCACTATCGTCACTCAACATCAACACCCTGACGCAGGATGAGCTATCCGTCCGAACAAATTTGGATCGCATTTTCGCATCCGAGCAGACGGGTTTTCAGGGACAGTCGTCCTGGATTCTGCTCACAAACCTGACTGAGAATCAGAGATATGAGTTGAGAGTCTGCTGGTCAGCATTGGTAAGTACAATCAATCACCCGGAGATCATCTCTATTTCGTATTATGAATAGCTGTATTAGCCCTGGCCCAGTCTCATGCTCGATCAGGAACCAACTCGCTTCGACATGGAAGCCTACACCCTAGATACTGTCCTAGAGAATGACAAGCTCCTCCGGTCTCTGAATGCCTACGCGGCGTTCAGGCCCAATATCCAGACAACGAAGCAGTCTACTATTATTCCAAATAGCTCTTCGCTTCTCATCGAAATTCACTCCGCGGCTGATTATTTCACCGACAACGCGGAGCTTATGGCCAACCCTCCACCCGTTCTGGTCGATCTCATCCTAGACCCGTTCCTTTTCAACGTCCTTCCCAAGTCGCTGTTGCCCACGGTAGGCTATCTAAGTCTCCTCGGCGTTGTGACCTGGTTTGTAGCGCGATGGGTCGCATCTAGCCTCCAGTTTGTAGCTGATTCGATGGAAACCCCATCCAAGAAACAGAATTGAAGGGGCTTCATTTTTCAGACACTAGGTCAGACAAGGATTCAGCGACGAGAGGACTGCCTCAGTTTGTTTCTTTCTTACATGCGTTCCCGTGTATAAGGGAACTTGAGTCATGAAACCGAATGCGTAATTCTAGATACAAAAAAAATCACATCCATGCAAAAAAACCCCGTCGTAACTCGTTTCCCGTCTACCGATGCTAGGTCCAAAAGAGATGCCGGCTTCATACTGTCCGAAAATTGGTTATTATGTGCTTCCGTTCCAATGACAAACTGCGGTGCCATGAACACTCCTCCTGTTCGAGCGGTTAATAATGGCCGCTCTGATACTGTTGATGCCCTTGGTAGGACTGGTTGCCACCAGAATATTGCTGGTTGTAGCCACCACCCTGGTGTTGAGGTTGACCATATCCCTGCTGCTGCTGCTGCTGCTGACCACCATAGCCATGTTGCCCACCAGAATAACCCCCTTGGCTGCCATGCTGACCTCCGTATTGTACACCGGAACTGCTTGAATTGCTGTTGTAGTTTTGGCCGTAGGGAGGCTGGTTATGCTGCTGCTGCTGGCCGGGAAATGAAGCGCCTTGGTAGGTGTCATGAGGAGGCGCCTGACTCTGGTAATTCGATTGCTGGTTTGGAGAGTGGCCTTGAGGAGGAGGCGGTGGAGGGGGATACGATTGCGACCCATGGGATTGATGGCCCTGCGACTGGTGGCCCTGAGAGCCCTGGCTGTGGTGTTGTTGGTTCGGCGTCGAAGATGTGTTGGACGGGGGCTTGGGAGCCGATGAGGAATGAGTGCTCCCAGGCGGGTGGTAGGTAGGCGCGTCACCGCCAGCGTATGATCCAGCCCCGGTGTTGGAATATCCGTAGTTTTGGTTCTATTTACCCCCCCCGCGCCCCAGCTCTGTGTTAGCACACCAGCGCAAATATAATTGGTTTCCCATAAACATTGCAAAAGACTTACGCCTGAGGACTCCTTGCCGCCAAACATGTGAGCTACGCCGCCGAATACGGCGCCGGCAATGCCGCCCTGGTGGCTGGGCTTGCTGGAATTCTGGCCGCCGTGATAGTTCTGCGGCGGCTCCGGCTTGTCTGACGACGAGAACAAGTTTGACGCGAGCTGCCCGGCTAGCTTCCCGGCTATGCCGCTGCTTCCACCGCCGTGGCCGCCGCTACTCCCGCCGAGAAACTGGCTCGCCAAGCCTCCTATGCCGCCGCCGCCGCCCGATGATTGCTTCTTGCCGCCAAGAAGAGCATTCATAGCCATGGTCTGTCATGCATAACAGTAGAGCTCTGTCAGCATTGCTCTGTGGATGAGCAAAGGTGGGATGGGAAGTGGTTACTTACACCAAGACCTCGATCGCCGGACGGACCATCTACGCCTCTGGTTCCGTCCGCCATTATCGGCTCCATGGTACCGTCGGGATGTTTGACCGTCTGCGACCCATCGGGATGGGTGATGAGCTCGGGCGGCGGCGTGCCGTAGGGATGGTCAACAGCCTGTCCAGGTGTGGTGCCGGTCTTTGCGGCCTGGGTGGGAATCTCCCATTGCGACACGCCCGTGGCGAGTTGCACGTAGTAGTATTTTTTGCTGGCGCCGTCCCATTGCGCGATCCAGCCGGGCGGAAGTTGAGGAGGGGCAAACGAGGGACCCTCGTTGCTCGGCGAAGTTGGGCCAGCCATGGGCCCTTTTTTGACGATGGCCGTCCGGTTTTCGTTGGAGATGCGAGGGATGACGATGAGGGGGAGGGGCAGGGAGCTTGGAGAGGAATAACAAGTGATATGGCGGAGGAAGGGGGGTGGGAGGTGGGCGGATTCAGAATTCCAAGCAGAGGGGAATGAAGAGGAAATTGGACCCGGGCGAAGCGGCGCAAGCAGTTCTGCTTGGTGTTGTTGCGGAGAGTTGTACTTGGTAGAGTCTGGTTGGGAATTGGGTGGGGGGGCAGGCTGCTGGGTTGAAGGCTAATATGGCGACGCAGGTTGACCACACTCGACATGGAGCATTGAAGCCCTTGGGCCTGGCAGTGAGCGCCTGGCCTGGTGTGTGAGTGCCGTCTGGTCGACCCCGTATCCCGTGTAGGGGCGCGCTTGAACTCTGGTCGGACTTGGCTGCAATCATGGAACGCAGGTGGCAATCATAATGAGTTTGGGCTCTGTTCTATTGCTGGTTGGAGGGGCTTCGATGGGCTTCGAGAGGGTCGAGGCTCTGAGCATCCGCAAGCCTGCACTACATGCAACTCGGCCTGCTGGTTGTCGCCTATTGCCCTCTGCAAGAATCCCAGAGAAGTGCTGGCGCTGTATTCCATTGTCTTTTCTTGTCGTGTCTGTCGTCCTCGCCGTGGCCGTTCCGTTCACTGTTCTGGACTCAGCAATCCCTCTCCCAGTATTGAGGTCCATTGTTGAGGTCCAAGGCGGCGGGCGGGGCTGGCTGGCTTCAGCCAAAACTGGAGTCGCCAATTGGCGGCCTCGCTGACCAGTGATTTCCATGTTCACAGTTCGACAGTCCCTCCATTACAACTCCATGTCCATCTCGGTCCATTAAACCCGCCATATCATGGACTGAAAGATGCGTGGCCAGTGACTAATAATTGACGTTTCGCCCAAATGGCCTCGGACTGCCTACACGTGTCCAAGTGCCTAGCGTCCGGGGAGGGGAGGGTCAAACTTGTGTGACCATCTAGGTACCTAGGGTAAGTACTGCTTTGGGAGCTTTTGTCAGTTTCATTGGGCATGCAGCGGGGTTGACCTTGAATATCTAGGCATGTTTCGTGGCATCTACAGTCTACAGCGTAGAACATCTTCAGAAGCTTCATTTGGGAACTGGAAGAAACGGTACCATCTGCCGCCTTTAAATCAAGTTTATTTACCGTGTATCGGATCTCAACTCAACTCTACCAACGCTGCACGTCTTTACGCCCACCAATAAGCAGGCATATGCTCTAAACGACCTCCTCAAACCACAACCCCCTGTTACGACGCTCGACCTGCGAGGCCAAACTCTTCAGTGCTCTTGGCGCTCGACGGGAGCATCCCGTGTTTACTTAGCACGGCAAGATCCTCCGCTGCCAACCGGCTTGGGTGTACTTGCAGCTGCGGCAGTAGAAACCGGTGCGGGTGGAGGACTGCTAGCAGGAGGAGCACCGGGGTTTCCAGCGTTGTTGTTGCTGTTGTTCACCAGAGCCCCAGAGGCAGCCCCAGAGGCAGCCGGAGCGGGAGCAGGAGCGGATCCGGATCCGGATCCGGATCCCTTAGTGCCGCAGTTTCCAACCGGTGGAGTAGTCTTGTCAGATTTCGTATCGAGCTCGGCGCCGGGGTCGGGGAAGACGACGTCCTTGCCCTCTTCGGTTGAGCAGCCATTGCCGATGTTGGCAGCAAACATGGCAGGCCGGCTGCTGAAAGGGGTGGTATCACCACGAGCCTTGCGGATCTTGGGGGCGCCGCCTCCAATGGTCACGGCGGCGCAGTTCATGTACATTTCGCGGTTGCCTATCTGATTGAACCAAGTCCAGGCAAATAGAGCATCACCGGCGGGTGTGTCAGAAGGCACAGTAAAGCCAAAGGTCGCCCCGTCCTGGAGAGGGCAGCCTCCAACGTACGAGTGGATGACTTTCCACGTCTTTCCGCTGTCAAATGAAAGAGACGCCTGACAACTGCCTCCGCCGTGGGTAGCAGTGCCGGCGATGGTCATTTTGTAGGACTGACCTGGAGTCCAGGTCGCAACAGACTGGCCCTGAGGAGTGCCAACGAGGCTGTGGTATCCCTTGCAAGGGAAGTTGGAGCCGCTGGCCAAGAGAGGACTCGTCATACTATCGTCCTGCTTCCCCTGCTCGGTGAACTTGTTGAACTTGGAGAGGAAGGGAGGAGGATCCGACATCTGCATGTGAGCTGAGCCATAGGATGCAAATCCAATAATGGCGGCGATGACAGCGGAAGACGTCTTCATGTTGGCTGCTTTTGGGTTGTTGTTTTTTCTCTCTAAAACAAAATGCTTGAGAAGGAGTGTTGAATTTGGATTTGACGAGAAACCAGCTCGTGGTGCCAAAATGGAAAATGTATAGACAAGAGAAGAGAAGAGAAGGAAAAGTCTGTCAAAGACTGACGCCCGTATGTTCTGGGAGCTGTGAAGTGCAGGTGGTTGAGATCACGCTTCTTTTTTGGAGGGCTCGGCCGGCCTTTTATATTGCCCCTGATATCTATCTCAAGGGGGGCTGTGGCAATGAATGCTGTGAACCATCTGGTCTTGCAAAACGGTCAGTCAGGGGGCAAGCCGTTAACGAAACACGGACACCCAATTCAACGCCATTGACTATTCACACCCACAACAGACAATGAACATAGTATTGTGGGACGTAACGTGAGGGGACTATTGTTCTCCTCCCACGCCCCTCGTCGTGCCGAATCACCCGCGATCATCGTCGCGCACCGACCGCAGCAGTTCGGGCATCTGAGGTCTTAGAGGAGGCGAGGCGTTTGAGTATCCGCGCAATTCTGGCCCATGAGATGCTCCAGCAGCTCATCGATGGAAAGACGATCGACTGGCCTGGCGCCAGGGGTCGTGCGGCGTGTTGGCATGCTGTGGATCATTGTAGTACTACATCCAGCGTCTGTTGAAGAAAACACCTCGTCCCCTCCTTGTTGTTCTTGTATAAGCCACAAGTCGAGCGGTCATGATTCAGCCAATATCCATACCCGGACTCGTCAGGGCTCTCACCCACGGAGGCCCATCAGACAACGTTTGCATGCCGGGATCCGGTGACGACGCCAGATGGCCGCTTAATGGTCCAGGTTTCCCCATTTCTGAAATCAACCTCTATCCAAGCCAGACAAGGCCCAAAAGGAGGTGTTTGGCAATTCCGTGCAAGCAACACCACGGCGTGCATGCGTTGGGTCTCCGTCCAACGGCAGGCTAGAAACAGTAGGCCAGGCACCGCCAACGTTGAACAAGTTCGGATGTGTTGCATTTTTGCCGGCCGACTCTTGTGTAAAAAAGTCTAATTGGTCAAGTGGCGCAAAGCAGGGGCAAGCTTTGGCAACAGGCCAACGCGCCTTCTTCCAATCCGATCTCCGTCGTCCAAGGTCGCTGAATCGCGGAACAGTTCAAGGTCACAGCGGTGGCTTGCGCCTCCCAGTCAGTCAGGTCCAAAATGCTTGGCGCAAACGCCTGTGCCAATGTTTGGGCCAATGTTTGGGGATGTCAGCTGGTCTCCAGGCAGACTCCTCGCCATCCAATCAACTGTCCCGCCCCGCCTCTCTTTGCCGCCGCTAGCCCGTCGTCTGCCGCCATTAATTGACGCTTGAAACGCCAGCCAGCCAACCGCCAACCGCCAACCGCCAACCAGCGATCAGGAACCAGGAACCAGGAACCGCTAAATCGTTCCTTTCATCCCTTCGTCCCTTCGTCCCTTCGTCCCATGATCCCTTGATCCCGTCATCCATGTCCATGTGCCACGATCTAGCACCTATGGATCGAGTTGAATACTACGTAGTGGAATCAGTCCTTGATTGAAGCTATCCAGCTGGATGGGTTAGCCCCTTTTTATGGATATCACAGATCATCGACTGAGTCATTTGATCAGGGGGTTATCTGTATTGAAAATAGCGGCTTCAAGGCCGTGGCGCGAGCCTTTGTGAGGCTTTTCGGCGATACCGGTGCATCGTAGGCTTTTTCCGTTGACACTACATTGTCTTGCCGAATCCGCTGCATGTCTGTCATCTTGATATACGAGGAAGACTGCTAAAATACAGCAGACACCCACCGTCGCACTTTTAAATGCCTCCCATATATCTGCTAAAGCGGTCGGTCCGCGGCCACACTTTATATGTGTACTTGTCCTTACATAATGCCAACCCAACTCCTAACAAGTAGATACAATGCCCTAAACGCACGTCCTTTACCTCGGACCGCCGCCATTATCTGGTGCTCCGGACTCCAATACGCACTGTCCATGTACAATATGGCCTGGCCGGGGGGTGGACGGCAACGTAACCTTTCTACACGTTACCTGCTTCACATTCGACTTGTGCCTATGCTTATGCTTGGGAGTTGCGGAGCCTCAGAGCTTGATGCGACTTTTCTCTCTTGAGTGTACAACTACTGTCTACCGGTCCAGGGTCCAGCTATCCGATATCAATCCCTTACTCTGTGGCCCACTTACCACGTCCATCAAACAGCTATCCTAGCTTGACCCAACTGCTGCAGAAGCCAATATCCCCATGTTCAGATCCGGGGTCGTTGGCGCATGGGCGTTCAACTCCCAACCTTCCCCCGATAAGATGTACTTCTGGTACAAAAACAATAGTTGATTGGGCGGTAAGCTGTTCATGTAATCCCCCCTGCCCTACCCCCCACAGCCCAATGTCCGAGACCAAAGCCCCGTCCCGTGATAGAAGCACAAACAAGGGAACGAGAAGTCGCCATTGCCGTTGCTTGTGATGAGAAGGGACACGCTGCCGCCTTTAGAAGAAAAGCTGCCACGAAGCTGCCAAACCACAGATACATCAGATAAGAAACTGCTCTACCCAAAAGTAGGCAGGGATATTATCCGCGCCCTGCTATGGCGTATACCAATGCTCCATATCGCAACCAAATGATAGGATTCATCGGGGAAAGCCTCCATCACATGCAATCCAGAGTTGAGATAAAAGATGAAAATAGTGTTGCCTGGATTGTGATAAACATTCCC